TACAAATATTTGTTTCTGAGGTGGGTGTTGTCTATGTAAATCAATATTGTATGTCTCGGTGGTGCAGTGGCAGCGTAAGCGACTGTTCTGCTAAGGTCTCAGGTTCGATTCCCGGGCCGGACCAAGTGTTTGTATGATCTGCAAATATTTGTTTCTGAGGTGGGTGTTGTCTATGTAAATCAATATTGTATGTCTCGGTGGTGCAGTGGCAGCGTAAGCGACTGTTCTGCTAAGGTCTCAGGTTCGATTCCCGGGCCGGACCAAGTGTTTGTATGATCTGCAAATATTTGTTTCTGAGGTGGGTGTTGTCTATGTAAATCAATATTGTATGTCTCGGTGGTGCAGTGGCAGCGTAAGCGACTGTTCTGCTAAGGTCTCAGGTTCGATTCCCGGGCCGGACCAAGTGTTTGTATGATCTGCAAATATTTGTTTCTGAGGTGGGTGTTGTCTATGTAAATCAATATTGTATGTCTCGGTGGTGCAGTGGCAGCGTAAGCGACTGTTCTGCTAAGGTCTCAGGTTCGATTCCCGGGCCGGACCAAGTGTTTGTATGATCTGCAAATATCTGTTTCTGAGGTGGGTGTTGTCTATGTAAATCAATATTGTATGTCTCGGTGGTGCAGTGGCAGCGTAAGCGACTGTTCTGCTAAGGTCTCAGGTTCGATTCCCGGGCCGGACCAAGTGTTTGTATGATCTGCAAATATCTGTTTCTGAGGTGGGTGTTGTCTATGTAAATCAATATTGTATGTCTCGGTGGTGCAGTGGCAGCGTAAGCGACTGTTCTGCTAAGGTCTCAGGTTCGATTCCCGGGCCGGACCAAGTGTTTGTATGATCTGCAAATATTTGTTTCTGAGGTGGGTGTTGTCTATGTAAATCAATATTGTATGTCTCGGTGGTGCAGTGGCAGCGTAAGCGACTGTTCTGCTAAGGTCTCAGGTTCGATTCCCGGGCCGGACCAAGTGTTTGTATGATCTGCAAATATTTGTTTCTGAGGTGGGTGTTGTCTATGTAAATCAATATTGTATGTCTCGGTGGTGCAGTGGCAGCGTAAGCGACTGTTCTGCTAAGGTCTCAGGTTCGATTCCCGGGCCGGACCAAGTGTTTGTATGATCTGCAAATATCTGTTTCTGAGGTGGGTGTTGTCTATGTAAATCAATATTGTATGTCTCGGTGGTGCAGTGGCAGCGTAAGCGACTGTTCTGCTAAGGTCTCAGGTTCGATTCCCGGGCCGGACCAAGTGTTTGTATGATCTGCAAATATTTGTTTCTGAGGTGGGTGTTGTCTATGTAAATCAATATTGTATGTCTCGGTGGTGCGGTGGCAGCGTAAGCGACTGTTCTGCTAAGGTCTCAGGTTCGATTCCCGGGCCGGACCAAGTGTTTGTATGATCTGCAAATATTTGTTTCTGAGGTGGGTGTTGTCTATGTAAATCAATATTGTATGTCTCGGTGGTGCAGTGGCAGCGTAAGCGACTGTTCTGCTAAGGTCTCAGGTTCGATTCCCGGGCCGGACCAAGTGTTTGTATGATCTGCAAATATTTGTTTCTGAGGTGGGTGTTGTCTATGTAAATCAATATTGTATGTCTCGGTGGTGCAGTGGCAGCGTAAGCGACTGTTCTGCTAAGGTCTCAGGTTCGATTCCCGGGCCGGACCAAGTGTTTGTATGATCTGCAAATATTTGTTTCTGAGGTGGGTGTTGTCTATGTAAATCAATATTGTATGTCTCGGTGGTGCAGTGGCAGCGTAAGCGACTGTTCTGCTAAGGTCTCAGGTTCGATTCCCGGGCCGGACCAAGTGTTTGTATGATCTGCAAATATCTGTTTCTGAGGTGGGTGTTGTCTATGTAAATCAATATTGTATGTCTCGGTGGTGCAGTGGCAGCGTAAGCGACTGTTCTGCTAAGGTCTCAGGTTCGATTCCCGGGCCGGACCAAGTGTTTGTATGATCTGCAAATATTTGTTTCTGAGGTGGGTGTTGTCTATGTAAATCAATATTGTATGTCTCGGTGGTGCGGTGGCAGCGTAAGCGACTGTTGTGCTAAGGTCTCAGGTTCGATTCCCGGGCCGGACCAAGTGTTTTTATGATCTGCAAATATTTGTTTCTGAGGTGGGTGTTTTCTATGTATTATATGTATGTGTTTACAAAAAAGAAGTATATTGCTTATATACTTTTCGTATCAGTCAGTCTACCTTTACTCGTAATAATATAGGCTCTGCTTAGTTTGAAATTAGATGGCGTTGTGTGTTAGATATCTGAAATATTGTTATTATTAATCTAAATAGTGAAATTAACACCCTTTCCATAAAGTTATTTGAGGTCGGCGCGTTGAGTTTTCTTTATCCATTCTCATCAGGTTGGTGCTTACTGCCTCTCTAGCCATACTCTCTTTCACGCAGTTCATCTTTTCTTTGGTCATCCTCAGGGGCGGATCTTGAATTTGTGGGGCCCTGGGCTAATACTGCTATTGGTTCTTAATTTTTGTCTTGCAAATCCATTAAATTTTATTTTTTTTGCTATATCTCATAAGCTTGGCTTTTATTATTTAAATATATCGATAAGCGATAAGCGGAGGGAAGTCCCCAGTAATAGACAATACACGGAATACACCGACCGAAAACAAGCGACAGGGAATTCCCCGTTCCGTTTGATTGATGCGCACACGGGTGGATTGATCGCAGTGTTGCCAACCTTGTGATCGGTTTTTTTTTAATTCTAGATAATTTTTATTGTTGACAATATCGTCTATTGTTTCCAGTTCTGCTGCAGCCCAAAAAGCCTTTAAGTAGATCCGCCCCTGGTCATCCTCTACTTCGGTGCATAAAACTTTCTCACTACATTTGCTCATCACTACCAGGATAATCTGTTGCTTCTCAACTTTCATCCATTACTTTCAGGCTTTCTAATGTTTTAATTCCTCACTTTGTCCATTCTAATCACACCACACATCCATCTTTACATTTTGCGTTTCAGCTAAGATTTATACTCGAAATTTATAAAGGTGTCGCTGAAAATGTGACATGATCTCTGATTGTCTTTGGCATTAAAAAGATTCTTTAAAAAAAACTATCCGTTTAAAAGTTATGACCGTTCATTTTCAAATGTTATTATTAGGGTTCCGTACCTCAAAAGGTAAAAAAGGAACCCTTATAAGATCACTTTCTTGTCCGTCTGTCCGTGTGTCACCACCGATTTTCTCAGGAACGGGTAGACCTAGCAAGTTGAAATTTATACCAGATACTGAAATCTATGGTCCCTATTAGGTGTATAAAAATCAAAGTCAACACGATAAAAAGATCTGGACAAATTTCGATTTTAGTAAAAACTTGTAAGTATCAAAATTTACCTTAATTTTCAACTTTTTTATTTTTCAGAATTTTCTCTTTACTTGTGCTGTAAGACCTTGCTTTTAACCAAAATTGACAATTATAGGTCAACCGGAAGTACCCTATAGGTTTTGGGTCGAAAACCTATATGGTAACTACCATATAGGTTTTCGACCAAGTCGACCTTGAATCGCGAAATTTGGAAAAAGAAACGTCTTACAGCACAAATAAAGGAATATTCCCAAACAATAAAAAAAGTTGAAAATTAAGATAAATTTTGGTACTTACAAAGTTTCGCGAAAATCTACGTAAAATCTGGGTAGGTACGGAACCCTCGGCGCACGAGTTCGACTCGTACCTGACCGGTTTTTTTCTTGTTTCATATTGAAACAGGTTAAATGTGTAAAGTTAAAATTGTTAGTTGCCTATAATTGGATGAGCACAAGGCATTTATTTGTATTATTGTACTCATATAGAACATGTGTATCATTTTTTGACGAACAAAAAAAAAATATAATAAGAAAAATAAACATTTTAACTTAGACTAGGCTCATTTTACTAATGAAAGTTTATATACAAATATCAGACAAATCAATTCACGACAGAAAGAATTGGTTTCGAATTTTAGTTAAAATTCACATCTTTATCAATGCTTATGCTAATTGCTTTGATTAGATTTGTTTAAGAACAGCTGTTGTTGTATCCATCCAAATCAAAGTAAAGATCCTAAGACCCGGCGAGGTGATGCGGTCCGCCAGGCATCGCAGAACGGTTGATGTTTTGAAGTTGTAAATTTATAATCGACGCGAGAACTATCACTGCGCGATGCAGGATTGTCAGTTGCTCCGTAGTTCGGTGTGTCTTCGTTAGATGTCACTGAAGTATGTTTTCGTTTCATTGTATGTGAAAGTCGTCACAGATTAAAAGCTACTTAAGGACAAGAAATACTTTCTTGATCTTTTATTGAAGACGGAGGCGTTCACAGGCTTTTAAGAGCGATACCTAACCCGCAGTATACTATTAAAGTAGAAGCCAGTAGAGTTTCCTTTGGTCTTCTAAGTCAGAAGTATATCAATAAGCATCGACTAGCTCGCTTAGTCACTATTATAACAGATTTTCATTGTGAAGATTAGCCGTGGGCGAGCTATACCTCAGCATATAAGGACCAGATGGACTCTCTTCAGCCGCCATCGAAACCGTTGGTTTGTAACCAGTTAAGGAGGAAAAAATGATCTTTGTACGAAACCAGTTTCGAATGATCAATTTTTCCTCCTTAACTGGTTACGAACCAGCCGAAGGGGATTGACCGGTGTGATACCAAGGCCTCACCGATAAATCAGCTCTTTTTTTGGTTTTCACCGAGTGAGGTTTCTTGAGATACGGTGACCACGGGTGACGGTGGTCACTTACCGTCTGCTCGTTTGCCCTCTTTACTATAAATAAAAGATTCGGATTGCAGCGGCTGACCATATTTTGTAAACCATACAAAAATTTACATATGAATGACAATTGTTAATTTTCAAGAGATAAACCATCCGACTTTCTCATATTCAAATAACTTCAAAGTTCATAAAAAACGAAACTTTAATCATGGAATTAAAACACCACAAATTTAAAATAGTATTATAATATATAAACTACATTAGATTTCACAAATAACTGTAATAACCTAACATTACTAAGTCGAAGCGATCCCAAAACAGAAACCGCCGACGAATCCTACTGAATAACAACTGTTCTGTTTAACAAACCTGAAGAGCCAGTCCAGCCACGCCTGGCTCTGCCCCGCTGACTCTTTTATCCTCTCCCAGTTCACGTTAATATACCCTAACTCACTTGCAAAATGCAGAAGGATTACACTACCTCCGAGACCGAATGCGGCGATTCTTCCAATTTTGACAACAGACATTCCCGCCATCCATCCAGAAAACGTTCCAATAACAAAATTCTTGCCTGTATTGTTGCTAAATCGGTCTGAAATATCGAATATTGACTTATTACTCTCATTGCTGTACACTTCAACGTCTCTCTTTGATTTCTTTCTTAGGTCAAGGTCCGGTGTTTCTGGGATAGGGCGGGCCATAAGCTTGCATATTCCTGATGTTTACTGAAGTCTATAGTGTAGTATTGTCTTGGTTTTTCTTTATTGGCGTTGTTGATGACAGATTGATAAAGATGTCAGAATGGTTGGTATGTTAGCGGTTGTAGAGAAATTAAGTTCATATAAAGCCTTTTTGCATTGTTAGTTAGATAATCTACCCATATTGTGTTCAGTGGATTTGGATTACAACTCTGAATCACAAATTGAGTACCAAATAAAGGATAGCGTAACTTTTTTTTTTATTGGGACTAATCCCACCCACACGCCCACGGCTGTAACTCCTGTACACCAGGATCCACAGCAGTGACCCACGAACACACCGAGTTATGACACTCGGGAAGTCCCAGGAAGAAATTAAACTGTCTTGGAACCCGCAACGAAAATAATCAGAAGAAAATTGGAGGAGTTGGAAATACAGTAAATCCACTTCCCTCCTTAGCAAAGCGGGAGACAAAATGAAGTAAAATGGGCATACACCCTTTTAAACAGGGAAGCACACGGCCACAAATATTACGGGTCCTACGTGAGCTATGTTTGATTTCTGTAATATGTATGGCAGAATCGCCTAAACGCACGGAAATTCACCCTAGTTGACACAAGATCCCCATAGTATACCGCCCCAGATGTCACCTGCAAGCTATTCAGCATTATATTACGTTCATTATACCAAAGACTACATTCCCAGAGGATATGATGAGCAGACTGTTCATAGTGAGAGTTAGGTGTTGAGCATTGACAAAATGGTGACTCGACTAATTTAAATGAATAAAGCTTGCTCTTAAAGTTACCATGACCCGTAAGAAATTGAGCGACACAGTGATCCACCTCAAGCTATATCCTCGACAACCGTTCGCGAACAGATGGAAAGAATTGGTAAAGATGGCGCCCCTTGGATGATTCAACCCAGCGTTGTTGCCATTCGTCTATGAGGTCGTTATAGACATCGGGCTGCTGTTGAAGCAATCTTGTAATTTTACCGCGATCCCGCGCGCCCAAAAAATCGCATTCCATGTTTTGTTGTCTTGAATAGTACATGGCTGCACGTCTCTGCACCTCGAGATCGACCGGAAGCACACCCGCCAACACCGGCAAAGCCTCAGTGCTAACCGTCCTATATGCCTTACACAAGAATATCAGTGCAAGTCGTTGGCCTTGTAACAGTTTGCGACGGACAGCGCCTACGGTCGCCCTATCGGCCCATACAGGTGCACCATAGCACATAGAACCTAAATAAGTAGCTCCGTATATGATCTTTAATGTATTAAATGATAGACCCCATGTCGCAGTTGATATCCTTGTCAATGCACAGAAACTCTTTTTAGACTTTTCGTTTTAGCGTTACTTATAGACTAAAAGAATAAACCTATATTAATTGATTGCATTACGCAAATAGTATGTTGATTTTTATAGGTTACAGAGCTCAGTCTTTCCGGCAACATTGGAACATTCTGTTCGCGGTGAATTCTAACTGACCATACAAAAGGTAATCAACCGATCAAAATAAGTTCACCTTGAAAACAATGGAATTTGGAATTTCACCTTCTGTATGGTAGTTATTTTTATACAGTGAACGGGAAAGGTTTATATTTAATAAATTAGTTGTACAAATCTTTGACTAAAAGTAGTCATTTAAAACAGTTGTAGGTATTAACAAGGTTTTGAGATATGAATACCTGTCAGTCACGACTGAGGGACCACCTTTGACCAATCGTAACTTTTCACTGGCTACTTTTAAAAATTAGAGGCTGAATTTACAATTGTTTTAAAACTTTGCCGAAAGGCTGGTGCATTCAAAAGCTTAAATTTAAATGCGGTCCCTCAATGGGAACACAGATAGGATATACTACCCTGACCTGCTTAGCAATATCCTTTTCCTACCTATCCTAACAACTAATTTTATCAAATTGAACTTCCGCAAATCTTCCCATCTAATCTCTCAAGTGCCCGGTGGATAGTAATAGGCCGAGTATGATTTTAGTCCCCTCATAAGTGGGACTAAAACCACAGTCAGCAAATAGATCTACACTTGAGAGTGTATAAGACATATATAAATAAAGATTATTCTATACTTTGTTGTGGGAGTTTTTCTTTCACTTCATACACCATTCCATTTTTAGAAAACTGAGAGTGAATATCCTAAAGATTTCCAAAAGAAAAGTCCTGTTACGAGTTCTTAATATTATCAGCGTAAGAATTGCGAAGACAACCAATATTACATATAAGTATATTACGAAGATAACATTCCAATCCTCGCTAACGTTTGCTTAATGTTTTGCCGGCATAAATTAATATTCCGAAATCCTTCTACCATTCATTTAACAGAAGGCTAAGTGCGAGTTTATTTCACATCTACTCGATCGTCAAGGTGACGGCGTTCGGCGCTGTGATTGGCCCGCACTGAAATCTTAACCAATCACAACGCCGACCGCGCTCGCTGTCGAGAGCGAGTTGATGTGAAATAAACTCGCACTTGGCCCTCAGACCTGCTTTTCGTGGTACCTGACTGCTGAGCCAGAGTCATCCACCCAGGACAAGTAGTTAGGTGAGGAGCATGAGGGTTTGTGGTAGCTGTGTGTAATTTATCTATAATTTGCATGCATTTAGAAATACATACCTAAGTAAGTTTATCAGCAGTCTGGTTACCGGGGAGTACTGACTCTGCCAAGTTTTTGGAACAGATGACAGTGTGTAAGGTTGAATTATTAGTTTCAAATCGTTTTCTGTGTGAAGATGACATGATTAATATGTGTGTGTACTTTTAAGCTCATTTCTCCAGCTACTACAGACCCACACACGACGATAAACTGGTCTGTGCAATAGTTCTCTAAATCTGTTTCACCAAAAAAATAATTCATGAATTTATTTGATTGAAAATATGATTATTTAGATCCTTAACCATAATTGTCAATCAAATAAAGTACATATCGTAGAATTTTTATAGTGATTCTATGAACCTTTGTAAAAAGGGCGAATATTGGTTAATATCTATATCCGATATTGTTAATACTCGATCGATAGTCGGACATCGATAGTCAAAATAAATAATACTCTAGGACATTCACACTATTCAGCTTTAACTGCCTCGGTGTCGCAGTGGTAGCGTATGCGACTGCTGTGCTGTGGTCTAGGGTTAAATTTCCGGGTCGAACCAAATGTTTGTATGATCTGCAAATATTTGTGTCGAAGTTTGGTGTGTTTTTATATGCATGTATTTACGAAAAAAAAGTATTTGAGTATTCTATCAACCAATCTAGCTTTCATAGTACAAGCTCTGCTTAGTTTGAAACTAGATGGCGTTGTGTCAGGATGTCCGAAAATATTACCATTATTATTATAAAAATATTAGAGGAGCAAAAAATATTACAGGTTTTTATAAATTGTGGGTAATTTTTGTAATATTCATTTTTTTGTTATACTCTCCAACGAATATGTTTTCTCTATATGTTATCTTGTCCACCGTGGAATTCGTGATCCGGAAAGTTCCGAAAAGAGTTGGTTCGACCAGAGTTACACCACGGCATCACAGCAAACCGATTTTAAGCTGTTCTTTTGTGGCATTTCACTGAGTAAGGTCATCTGAGACTCGGTGGTAGTAAACTGCCGGCACCACACTCATGACTCTTGTCGTCCATGGGTGAGGGAGTCTTCTTATCTCTTAGACCACAAAATAAAAACCTGATGAGTTTAAAACAGGGTATTGTGTCTTTTGTTGTGTTTCATAAGTTACTTAAGTTAGCTGGAGGACTGGGTGTTTTAGTAAATTGAAATCCACAGTAAAGTGTAGGCTCTGTCAGACGGTCTATTACTCGATTGTGGATTATATGTATAGATTAGCCTAGGGGTTAATTAAGCACAGGCTATTTCTTAAATGGAAATGTAGTTTGGAAAAGTGTTTTTTTTTTCTCATTTTATATGGTTTACTTTACATTCAATTCTATTCCATTTTTTCTTTATCTTGTTTTCTCTTTATTGCTTTCTACCTTTTAATACTTAACAACTGATATACTTTCAAAACAATGTTGTGATATATTTAATAATGCGACTGAATCTAGCTATAATTGAAAAAGAGTGGCCCGTGAGTTTGTTTGTCATTTCTTCTCATAAGACTCGATCCCTTGAAAACAGGCGGTTGTAGATCGGCACAGACATATAATGGACTAGCTGACCCGCGCAACTTCGTCTGCGTCTCTCAATAGTAATAAATTTTCTCCGTTTTTGAAACATTCTTCATTGGTGCTCCCCTCCTAACGGTTTCAGCGTGATGATATATAGCCTATAGCCTGCCTCGATAAATAGGCTATCTAACAATGAAATAATTTTTCAAATCGGACCAGTAGTTCCTGAGATTAGCGCGTTCAAACAAAGAAACAAACAAACAAACTCTTCAGCTTTATAATATTAGTATAGATTAACTTCATTTTGCTAAATATTAGAAAAAAACTGATTTCGGTCTTGTGTCTTTATAAATAGTAAGACGATTTAAAAAAAAAAAGAGTTTACTAAACCATTATGGGGGTAGTAGTAGGGGGCCCTAGAAGGGTTATTTCGGGATTTATTCGAGCGTGGCAGATTAACACAGGAGGAATACCTTACACCCAGTTGAGTACCTCCACCATACATGAGCATAAACTATAGGTTATAAGCGCCCAACCCAACCAACATGAGCCCTATATAGCACATGCTATATGCTCAGGGCAGCTGATAAGTAAAAAAAAATCTATGGTCAGAAATACTCGAACGTGTAAGATTAAGGTAAGTTGGGTTAATTACATGCCGAATAGTGTGTATTTAAAAGATTTAAAGATTTAATTGTGACAAAAGGCAGTGTCAAAGTCACAAAGTTATAAAAAAACACATGATATTTTTTTATTATGAAACAATCTTACCCAAAATGTCTAAATAATTTTTCGTGCCTTTATTTAAAACATATTGTAATTTAAAAAAAAAAATAAGCAAAATTATTTCGCCTTGATCAATGGCCAATAGTTGGGGGCAACACACTTGTGTCTAAAGTTGCAGGCGTTCATGAGTAGCAGCAGTCATTTCATCAGGTCACCAGTGTGCTCATTTGTTCCTATCAACAGCCTTTAATAGTCCACTGCTGGACATAGGCCTCTGCTTAGAAAGCATAGGTATGCCATTAGGATATCCATTGCCCCTAAATAATTTAAAGGTAAAATGTATCAAATGTTTGAAAGACAAACACTATCTAAGCAATTGGTCTGGATCTTGACCTGGCCTTCGAGAGATAATCTAGTGATTAGTAATTCTAACTGCGATAGAGGCCTGACTTCGATTCCCACCCAGGACAAATAATATTGTCTATAATTTATCTATACAAGTAAATATTTAGAAATATAATATGTGTGTATATCATCAGTCTGATCACTACAGCGCAGGATCTACGTAGTTAAGGATCACATGGCTGTGTGAGATGTGTAAAGTTATTATTATTATTTATAAATAAAAATCTTAAGTATGGTTGGTGTGCGCTTCAAGAACTAAAGAAGCTCTGCACTGATTAAGCTAAAACTTTGACACAATATACAAACCGCTTTTTAAATATCGAGGCCTGCCTCGAGGGTTTTGGCTTCACACGCCTGAGTGTGGTTTCCCGTTGGGTATCCCCGTACCACACGCGAGTAAATTAGCTAACCTTTAATTTATAATTACGAGTATATTCAAAATCGATCAGGGAGTGCTGTTTTCCCTTACGGTCCGCAATGGTTCCCGTGAGTATCACAGTGTAGGTAGTGACGTAGAAGCTGCACAAGAACTAACTACACACTAACTGCAAGCGGAAGAGAGGGGGGGGGGGGAGGGTGACAAACAAAAATAAAAGTAACTACATGGCAAGCGACGACGCGACAGTGGCGCCACAGTCGCGCGACTATCTCGCCTCGCCGCTCGCCAATTAGCATGCACATTAATTTCATTGAATGTATTTTTCAATAAAACCATATTTTTCACTTGTTAGGTATTGTCCATATCATATCTAACTATTAAATATTATATTTACATGACATCTCTGACTTCGACACTTGGAATACGACAACACGTCGTCTGCCTAAATGCTGCTCGTGAATGAAAAAAAAAAAGATTGAAAAATATTGAACACCTATTAAAAGCTAAAATTAATAATAACTATCTAAGTAAACGTATAAAGAGGTTTTTTGTTACAAAATGTCGTGTTTTAATTGGTGGAGACACGAGAGTCGCGCGGAGCCCCGCTGCGAATACTGATCGTGCCTCAGCCGCCGCCCCAGGGGCCCCGCACGAGGGCCCCACTCGAGCTCCCCGTACATTTAAACTTGCGATGGCCCCGCGCGACCGACAATTACAAATTAAATTATCCGTCGTTAGGATAGAGTCGCCCCGACTGTTGACTCGACGTATCGATAAGTACGTTTTGATTAGTTTGTCGATGTCGATAGTCACGCGACGCTATCCCGATACGACTACGATCTACGTATATAATTCGTACCTTTATCGATCGATACATTTTTACATCTAAAATTATGTATATATATATATATTTAAATAACTGCACATCTGCACCGGGCAGTTTTCTTCGTCGTAGTTTGATCAATAGCGGTTTATAACAATTGATGTATATCTTAGCGGCGTCCTTGGTAAGCGTCGATGTGCACCGTAGTGATGTGACAGCATGTCGATGTAGCGTCGACTGGGTGGTATTTACTATATTCAACATTCGCTTATATTGACTACTTTTAGGTAAAATAATTATGATGCATATTTTTAACACAATATATACATTTGCAAAAACTGTGTTAATCTGTTACAAATGTTGCTTTTTAAGTTACATCGAAATTCATGAGGATATGGCTAGGAAGGGAGTAAACAGTGAAGAAGAATAATACATACTGCACCGGCCCCAAATAATATACAGCGGTTACAAGCTTTTAACTAAGAAAAATTACATATTAATTTCTGTCACGCTACTTCGACACGCAGGTCACAAACTATAATGTAGGAACTAGGCAATTTGTCCTGTTACATGCGAGGTCTCACTCGCACATTCAGGAAAGGAAAGAGACAGTATTAAATAGTTACATACACTTTTATCGATAACCACAGACTTAGTACATCACTTAAAAATTATACTTATTCGATGTACGTTAATTCAATTGTTAAAAATCTCATGTATCTCAGGTACAGTATACTCTAACAATATAAGAGTACAACCCACAGACTTCATTTATTTATTATATTCACATTTATTTATCACTTTTGGTTTACTGATACATTTTTTTTTTACATTTTTAAATATAAATTTTACTTCCGAATTCGAGTAATACGACAAATGGTAATAAATATATATATAAAAGGCTGAATATACAATGTCCAAATGATTTTCATTCAAAGATATAAATTAGTCGATAATCTATCGATATCGATAACAGTGCACAATAATCTTACATAAAATTAAAATTCAATCAATGAATTAATAATTTCAGTTTATTTATACAAAGAATCGAACGATCAAGTCGTTATTTATATTACAAATATAACAATTTCAGTCGAAAAGATCTATCGTCTTATGAGGCTTAGTACGCGAGACTTTGTAAATACGTTTTAGTAATGTTTTATTACTAAATATAATTACTTTTGTACACTTAATAAGAAAATGTACTACAATATACACATATACACTGCGAACTTTTATGGTAAGTACTGGCGACACAAGCAATAATCGATGGGTGACCAGTGGCATTGATTACAGTAATTAGGCTCGCACAACTAAAATATTAATTTGTTCATAGTCAATCTTCAGTAAGTTTGTATAAGTATTTTAGTTAGGTTTAGCGACGGAATTGATCACATTTAATCTCTTAAAAACCTCGTATTGATTAGACAACGATTTTATTCCATTTTTTTAAATTTAATTATTGTAGTTATCGCCATTATTTTTTATAGTTACAATTTGTACACATCACTAGTGCAACGGAAAAGCGTGTCTCACTATAAATATATGTTCTAATCAGTACAAGGTTCATAAGAATTTTTTACTGAAAATTGATCACAATTTAATATATAAAACTACCAATATTAAGGTACCACTATTATGAACGTTCGTTCATAGTTGGTATTGCTTCGATGAGGGTGTATTATAACGTAATTTATACAACGGCAATGGTATAATACGTGAGCGCGTGGAGCGAGCGGCCGCGGAGAGAGAATCGTCCGAGTCGTCGAACGTCGCTCTCGAACTTAATCTCGTATACAAAAATATTTGGTAAATTTTATCGTTCGAGTCGCACAATAAACTCAGACGCGCGTCGTCGAGAGACACATCGAGGTGACGACTCGTACTCGATGTGTCGAGGCGATTTCATTTCGGTGGGAGCGGACGAGCGCGGTCGAGCTCGACGACGGTCATGCGGGAAAGCTATAGAGGCGTGCGACGCTCGGGCGGCTCTCTCCCCGGGGCGGCCGGGGGCGCGCGTCACACCGCCGCCTCCTCACCTGCGGCGGGGGGCGCGGGCGGCTCCTCCTTGGCGGGCTCGGCCGGCTCCGGCTCGGCCGCGGGGGCGGGCGCGGGGGCAGGGGGCGCGGGGGACGTGGCGGGGGGCGCAGGCGGGGCGCTGGGCGCGCGCTGCGCCGGCTGGTCGAGGGGCGCGAGGGGAGCGAGGGGCACGGCGGGGGCGGCGGGCGCGGGCGGCAGCGTGCGCGGCGTGTCGAAGGCGAGAGGCAGAGGCTGAGGCTGGGGCGGCAGCTGCGCCTGCGGCTGAGGCGCGGCGGGGGGCGGCGCGTGCGCGGGCGCGGGGGAGGCGTAGGGCCGGTAGGGCCGGTACAGCAGCGGCGGCGGCAGCAGCGGGCGCGGCAGCGCGTACACGGGCGGCGGCAGCAGGTGCGCGTGCGGGTGCAGCGCGGCGGCGCAGAGCGCGCGCTGCTCGTCACGCGCGCGCTCCTTCTCCCGCTCCCGCGCTCGCTCTCTCTCCCGCTCCCTCTCGCGCTGCTCCTTCTCCCGTTGCTCGCGCTCTCGCTCCCTCTCCCTGAAATAGCATGGTGATGTTGCTATTTGTCCTCGTTAAACTTTTACCCCTAACTGCTATAAATTAGACTTTTTAAAATAATAAACAGCGAACGACGATTCATTAAATAATAATTTTAAATCTATTTTTTCTACATTAAAGATATTCACTTAATACTATTAGACGAGTCTTTATTTTATTAAACACGAATCCTTTTAAATTGCATCAAACAATTTCGTTGCTTATTATATTGCTGTCACAATAATTTAACTAAAATAAACTTGTAAATAATAAATTCTAATCAGTTATAAACTTTAACAAGAAATATCTGACCTTTCTCGTTCCCGTTCTCTTTCCCTCTCGCGCTCTCTTTCTCGCTGCAAAGCGATTTCCTTGTCGCGCTCCTCGTGCATGGCGTGCGCGGGGTGCGGCTGGTGCGCGGGGTGCGCGGCGTGGGGCGCGTGCGCGGGGTGCGCGGAGTGCGCGGGGTGCGTCGCGTGCGCCGTGTGCGCGGCGTGCGCGGAGTGGGCGGGGTGCAGCGACAGCGGAGGCGCCAGTTGCGGGTACAGCGCGTACGGCGGTAGCCAACCCACGCCCACGCCGCTGCGGAACACGCGCTCCAGGTACATCTGCTCCTCGGCTGCTAACCTGCACACACCCCTCACATAAATACACCCTTCCCACTACACTCACACGATGAGAAAGTGAACGATGCAATAAAAAATAAAATTTATTTGTTCAAATGTAACAAACACCGAAAAACAGATGACATAGCCTGAAAGAATAATAAATTCGACAACCACATTTCTAAATAAAATATTTTTTCATTTTTATGTAAATTCCAACCAGTTTAATAACAAATTATAATTAACAGCCATAATTAGCCAGCTGATTATCGTGTCGTACGCCGCAAAGCCACAAAGCCAAAGTGAAAATAATCAAACCCACATTTTAAAAATGATATTTTACAACACGTAAGCAATAAAAGGTATTTCAGTTTTCATAAAAAGCAGTAGCTTTTATCTGTCCTGAGTACGTGTTTTAAGTGGCTCTGCTAGGGAGTATGCTCCGCAGCAGAGCCAAAATCGATGCTCATTATTTTGTTACCTAGTGTACGTACAGCAATAAGTACATTATAACTGATCAGTATTTTTATGGCGGCTCTGTGGCTGAGCACGACACTGATAATCGTGGTGGTATCTTCGATCAAAGGACATTCACGTTTGACCATCTGAAATGTGCCGTATCCCCAGCTCTCTTAGCCTATCCGTTTGCCTCACCACAATACTTCTGTTTACCGTCTAAATACCATTAAATTCCCAAGGATCAGGCATCAGGCAGGTGGCCGGCCTGGTTACACCCTGGTTATTGAATGGTTAAAGTTATAATCCTGTCAGCCTTCTGTCTCTCTCTGGCTATAAAATATGAACGAACGTTTGTGTAACACCTTTTATATGTCACAGTTACAACATAGTATTTATGACACATTATTCTGTTTACCTGTACTGTAGCGCCGCGCTGGAGTATATACTTGGATGTGCGTACGGAGAATATGCCGCGGGCTCCAGCAGTGGGAACGACGCAGCTGGGTGGGATAACCTATAAAATACATCATGTTATATTAACATTTCGCTTGCTGACTATGACTCTGTAATGTTTCGAGAATGTTAGTCTAATTAATAACGTTTCATGATCATCACCATTAACAGCCTTTCATGGTCCACTGCTGGACATAGGCGGCTTCGGGCTACTATATCACGCTGGCCGACGGGTTGGTATAGGGTCTGTTTCAAGTTTTCCTTCTTTTTGCAGTGCGGTTGTTCTGCGTAGTTTGCCCCTAAGTCGGCTCTTAGAACACCCACAGGATGAAAAGGGATGGTGACTCTCCGTTTAACGTCTCCACACGTACAAAATAACGTTTAGTTATGAAAAAGGGGGCATTTAGTTATCTGTATTTGTAAAATATACCTGCCCAACCTTTAAAGACTCGTCGATCATTATCAATCGACATTTAAGACGTAAGCTGAGGATTTTTTTTGTTGACAGGGTGGAAATCCCTTCGGATCTCCAGGCCCTTGGGGACGCATCGTGACAATGTAGGAGCTGGAAGTATGTGATATTTTTAGTAAAAACCACCCCGATGGCCGGTCTCAGGAATTTAGTTAGTGTTAACATTCTTGAGGACCTTGAAATCTGATGGTCCGGGTCCTGGGGTGGACCCCTCATACAAATCATTTGGCAAATGCGAAAGATTTTAGTTTTCCGTTTGTTTTTACAATAAAATATAGCTTTTCTAGTTACAAAACAAAAACTGTGCAGAAAATTTGTCAACATTCCTATTTTCAGGACAATTATTTAAATTTTAATTAGGGCTATAATGCGTATTATTGAAATTTATGAATTAACAGAATTTTCTTTATTGAACACACAAAAAAGGTAAATGTTTACAACATAATAGTTAATGATAAAGATGGATAACTAGGCTGCGCTCGCGCCGGATAAGTTAACTTTTTCTATAAATGCTTTAGTCAGTGCTCAGCTTCACTCATAATGGATGCTCTACAAACCACTCCGCTTTTCACTTGGCGCACCAAGGCGCAATTTTATTTTTCAGTGCCCCTTACCCCGGGATTAGAGGGGGAAGGGAAGTGTGGACAAAGGTCACCTTCTTAGCTTGGTAAAATGCCACGAAAGAATGGCTTAACACCAGTATACCGATATGTGACAAAGCATGGAACGATATATCAATTTCTAATAGCGCTTAACAGAGTTCACGCAAGTTGAGAGTATCCCTATCAAATAGCAATAGTAGTATTGGTAGAGAGGCACGTACCTATCATCAGGTCGGTAAGGTTGGAAGCCGCTGGCGGGCAGGTGGTGCGGTGATGCCCGCTTGGGCGGCTGGGGCGGCGGCTTGTCCTTGACGTCGCGCGCTGTGACCGCGCTGCCTGCGCCGCCTGAATCGTACCACTCGCATCGTCAGCCACGGCGGACTCATGCTAGCTCAGCGTTCAGCTCTCATACACATGGGACACCATACGTTGGGTCAAATTTAGGTATGACTATTCAGCCGGTTGAATGATTAAACTTTTCTTCAAAAAAACTCTAATTATTGCAATAGTAATGATACTTTAGAAAAATTAAACACGGTAGGGCAAGTTTTACCAAACCATTGTAGTATGGCAACTAGGGCAGTAGGAAAATATCCTATATACTGATTGCTGTGACAGGTACAGTTGTTAAAAACTCATAAAATAAAGCACCAATAAAATAAAGCAAAAAAGATTTGTGAGGGGTATGGTTCATATTTAACCAATTTTAAGTTGCCATTTTTCAACACAGGGTATTCGTATTCCTCATTGTAGTTTTGAGGAAGAAAACAATTAAGAACTGGCTGGATGTGATACGTTATTTATAGTACTTGGATGACCCATGATGGGAAATTTTCTAAAAACGAAACTCGTTTGAAGCAATAAACTTAATGGGAATAACTATACATATAATTGGTGCCCAATAATAGAATTTCGGTTTTAAATTATTTGGAAAATATGTTGTTTCAAAAAAATAGCGGCGTATATACCGTCTTTTTCGTATACCTTGATAATTAAGGAAAGATTTGTTGTAGGTGTAAAGAGCTGAACGCAATAAAACATGAATAAACAAATAACACAAAAAAATCCGAAACAGACATGTTTCATTATATAAAAAAATGGTGACCCTTATTAATAAGGGTAAAACTTAAAAATTAAATTACAATGATAATTATTTGATCTACTGTATAAGTAAATGTTTGACAATTATACGAAATAAGATTGACAAGAGTAAATAGTTGCCAGATAAAAAAATAGAGGTGTTTTTTTTACTCTGGTCAACCATCACAATGTATGTAAAAGTAACTAAAATCTAGCGAGACAATATTGTATCTGATATTGTTTATATCACGTATGGACAAGTAGTAAACCCAACAAGTGTTCTGCTGTGGTTGAAGAAAATAAATTAAAAAGGATGAGCACACAACGCGAATCGTGAACAGTGTAAGAAAATTTGCGAGTGAGCACTTCTTTGAGGCAGTACAACATGGGAACATAGATGCAACAGGTGTGCTGTAACAGGTTTACGGTAATTACTTCAATACTAAATTTCCCATTTTATTACGTCTTTTAATACACAAAGTTTAAATTACGTTTACATAAAGTTTTTTTTTTTGTCAAATTTTTGACAAAAACCAACCGTCTTGTTCCTCATTTCTGTCTCGTCTCGTTTGCCACTGTTTACGACTCGGTTATGTTAGGGAGTATACAGGTTAGCTACGATCACTCACCGTCCTTCGCCTCGGGGTCCGCGTTCTTGGCGAGGTTGCGAAGCGCTGCAGCGAAGGGACCGCCTTTGTTCGGAGGGACGGCCTCGCGTTTTGGGATCTTGTTTGCGCTCACACCTGAGGACAATATGATGGATATCAAATAAATGTGTATTGCAGATATTTATTAGGATACTAGCTGATCCGGCAAACGTTGTATTGCAACAAAAAAAAATTAGGGATGGGTCACCCTTACCATTCAAAATTGTGAATCTAAACCATTCCCAGATCCCCTTGCACACACAAAAAATTTCATCAAAATCGGTCCAGTCGTTTGAGAGAAGTTCAGTGACATACACACTCACAGAAGAATTATATATATAAAGATTTGAGGAACAGTAAACCTATAGAAATGAGACTGAGCAAAAAAGGTTCAATCGGTAGTTTACAAGCTACCATTTTAATAAATCTAGCAAACAGTTAAAACAAAACTAGATCAAAATCTTTTACTTCAGTTAAAAGAATTCAAATATAAAAATACTACTTACGAAAGTTTAATTCTAGATGAGAATGTGGGACATAATTAAATATTTTATGTGGGTATTCATCAATACGTATATATGACGAAGAGATTTATTGGGCTATTTAATTATACTGTTATCTGTTGCCACCTGTTGCTGGCAGACGTTATTTATTTTAACTGAAGATTATTTTCATATTAACGTTACTTTTTCATAGTAACGTTCGCACCTTATAAAAAAAACAAGGTAGCTCCAAAATCAATTATATTCCTTCCTAAATTGAATAACTATCAACCACAGCGGTTGCAGTCAACTTGTCACGGTTCCACATAATTATATCTTTTCAAAGGCGGAGCGCGTGCCCGTTAAACGTCAGAAGCAGACTTACACCATCTGTTCACACCCTTGCCCTCGCGTCTCAAACCCTCTGTATTATATTTATTATACTGTCGAATATAACAAAGTGTGTTATTAATTGTTACATTAAATGAAACGGATGTGTTGAGCTTGTGTAGTCGATTTTAATTTGGTTTGGCTTCGTTAGATGGCGTCGTGCTACTCTTCTGACGATGTTATGAACCTCCGCTAATACATTACGGCTTACCAGTTTAATAAAACTAAACGCTTAGTAACTCTAATGTTTTAAAGCATGTTTAAAGATGACGATATGACAGTTACTTGAGACTTTGAGGGAATCCGAATTAAAAACAAACAGCTTAGAAAAATATACATTTGAATCCTTAGCCTTAAGCATTAACATCATCGGTAGAGACGACAGATACTAGAAACGTCAATGGAGTGACAAGCATTTCAACTCTCGTAACGTATGCCAGCAACAGGTGGCAAGGACCTCATGATAGCAGTTTAAATAAGTACTGCAATAGCGTGTGGCGTGAGTAAGAAAACTACTTGTTTCATTAATGAAGTCGCACAGATTGCACTTAGTCAATTAATATGCAAGTACGTAATGAGGCCGAGGATCTAGAAAATAAGACAAAAAAAAACATTTACGTTTTTCTTCCTGCCTCACCTCACCATCTATCGTGTCCTCATTAACGCGATATTATGACTTATCTTCTTTTTCTACTAACAGAAAATGGTTGACAATATGAGAAATAGTGACGTCATATTATATAGTGATTCCTAAGTGTGTTTAGTCGTTATTATATTAGTATAGTGTACTGTCTTATTCAGCTTGTAAGCGCCTGTTAACAAAAGGTCGCGAGTGGGCACCGCTCCGGGCGGCGTAATTGGCCTCTTGATCAATGTGGACTGTACTATATGTAGTGATGTTTTATATTGATGAATAGGGTTACCAGTACTATTAGAAGGATAGGGTTGGCAAAGCGCAAATAATATAGATAACCGCTTATAGCCAGGTAGGCCATGGTTTTCTTTGAAAAACCCTTAGCCTTTTAAAGATATTGAACCTGAATCCTCATAATTTGCATCCACATTCAGTCGGTTTCCATCAATACACAAACGAAAAATAGAACTATTATTTTCTGTTGTGTCAAGATTCTTACCCAGTTAAACTGCTCAAATTGAACAGAACTATAAAGATAATTTGCCACCTGTAGTCTATTCTTTACAGGCATATCTTTAGAAGTATAAGTGAGTCTGTCCAGTCCACAATTAAACGGAAAATAGTCCTGATTTGGGCATCAGAATTGATCACACTCTGACTCAACACTTGGCGACTGTAGGGCAATTTCTTACGAACCTCATAAAATTCTATTTTTACAGTTTCGTAGTAAACGGCACGCAGTTGCCTATAAACAAAATATCCATGATGGCTTCCGTGTCTATCGCTCAATGACAGATACAGCTCATATGGGTGTCGTAAAGTAGTTAATCAAGAAGCAGGGAGTGAATAGAAGACATAACATAACAGAGTTCTATGTAAGAAAATCCCAAAAGAATTTTCCAAAAGAAAGGACGTAAAACTCATCAAACCCTAAAAAGGAAGTATCAGAAAACATAACACGACTATTTCTTTCTTAAAAGGTTCTGTATTAAATGCTGTTTCCCGTAGCTTTGCTATTTCTAATGTGGATTTTGTAAATTTTGCCGGACTAAAAGTTGCGTATGTGGTAATATAGACTATAAATCTCTGTACCAAATTTCTGTGACCTATATCGCAATATTGCTCGCCGTAATGACGACAACCTGGAGCGTTTGATGGTGACAGCAGGGGTAAAAGGGAAGAGACCCAAAAGATGGTCAGACCAGATCGCTGAACAGCTGGAAACGCTAATAAGTAGCGCAATCCACCAAGCGACTGACCGCAGCCGATGGAAGCAGATGGTTGACAGGATGAAAAAGAGCCACGATCCTCAGCAGTGAGGGATCGACTAGGAAGTAGATATCACGATAGTTAGTTTGGCAATTGTCGATCGCACATTCACGGTTTAGAATCTTATAGTGTACATATAAGTTCAAAATACAAAGTAACAAGGATCAGGTTCGGAACCGAATTTGATTCAGTAGCCATAGTTTGAGTTTATTTCACATCAACTCGACCGCCATGGTGAGCGCGTTCGGCGTCGCGATTGGCCCGCAGTGAATCTCCACCAATCGCAACATTGAACTCGCTCGCCGTCGAAAGCGTGTAGATGTGAAATAAACTCCCTCTAGGGCCTGTAGATAACCCGCTTCAAGACATACCGGCTGCGGGAGAACCATGCTGGGATGTTTATAAAGCTGGTGTACACAGTCAAATGGAAGTAAAAACTACTAGCTGACAACTTCGTTTGCGTGTCAATGGAAATTATTTCTTCCCCGTTCTTGCAGCAGTGCACATTGATGCTCTTCTCCTATGGGTCCTCGCGTGATGTTCTATAGCCTATGGCCTTCCTCAATAAATGGGATATTTAATACTAAAAGAGATTTTCTATTCCAACCCAACAAACTCTGGCTTTAAAATATTAGTATAGAGTCTGGTTCTTCGACGTGCTGAGATCTGCGGTATTGAAGCATATATAATGCGACGTCAATTACGCTGGTGTGGTCACGTGTTCCGTATGCCAAATGAACGGATCGCCAAGTGCATCTTTTATGGCGAGCTTCAAGAGGGTAAGCGCAAGCATGGCGGACAGCTCCTGCGATACAAAGATGTGCTTAAATGGCATATGAAAAGCTGCGGTATTGACCCCTTATCGTGGGAGTCATCTGCGGCAAACCGCCCGGAATGGAGACGTCTCGTAAGGCAGAAGATCGACGCCTTTGAAAGCTCACGTAAAGACGAGCTCGACACAAAAAGAGACGAGCTAAAAGCCAGACCACCAACAGCTTTAAGTTACCACTATAGTGGCGGAGTTCTCACTTGTCCAAAATGCTCTAGAACTTTTAAGGCCAAAATTGGCTACAACAGCCATATGCGAGTACACCACCGCGCGGACCAACGAGACGCCATCTGCTGAGCCTGTCCAGCAGTCGCTGTAGCCGAAATCGGCTCGGAGAGATTATTATAGAGTGTAGATTAATTATGGAAATTGACCCGCTTTCTTTTCTCGAGAGAGTACCTTTTCGAGAGTCTGACTGTTCATAGACTAGCCTGGGTGTGAAATATCACGAAATTCTAATATATAGAATCTTCTCGTTTTCTCCTCAATTTTTGTTTGTTTGCACTAGTTTACGCCCTGTGCCATAAAACGCTGGGGATTTTTTGAAAACTTACTAGTGTGATCTGTGTTTTAGGACACCTGAGTCTGGGACTTGGATATCCTGAAACACAACAAGTTTAATTAACAGTTTCAATTTACTCCTATACTAGGAATAAACACTGTATCGTGAGGACTCTACAGACAATTATAAAACGGACATACAGAACACCCAGACTCTGAACGACAATTTGTGAATCACACAAAGTGTTGTCCCAAGTGGGAATCGAACCCAAAACACAGCACCTTAGGATGCGGCGAGGTTGAGGGGGAAGTGTTTTCCCCCTGGGATAGGGCCTGACTAGGCATGGTGTCAATTCGGGGAGGACCTGAAATAACATGGTCCAGGTCCTCCCAGAGTAGGGCATATGAGGCCGGCCGTCGGGGTGGTTTTTAGTGGAATTACCACATACTCCTAGCTCTTAGCCCCGAGGAGCAGGAGATCCGAAGGGATTATCCACCCCGTCAAAAAAAAAAAATAGGATGCGGCGAGGTGACCGTGCAGTCAAACAATTCTTTTTTTTTCCAGATGTTTGTTACATAGTCTTGTTCTAACTACACAAGTATAACACAGTATGATCTTAACGTTCGCTGAACGCAATGTTCGCACAAATGAACCGCGTCCTTACACCGTAACTGCGAGGCGCGGGGCACATTAATCTCACGGGTCAATTGCCCGGGCAATTGCTAGTCGGACATCACTAACCAGAATAGAATTCGATAGAGATAGAGCTATACATAAGGGTGGGCCCATCTTGGGTCTCTAGGAAGAGATCTGAGTGGCACAGTTTAGCGAAAATCATATCTAAAATTATAAATTCGAACGTTTTTTATGTTATGATTACACACAACTACTACATAACGATGAAAGGATCTGTCCAGAAGTGGTTTTTTTAATCTTGAAAAATACCAGTGGCGTAACAGTATTTCCATATAAGCCATACATGACTCAAGTTAAATCTTACATTGGGTGCCAGAGCTCGACTGCTTAAGTTTTCACTGATGCTGTTGTGATAATATGTATGTATGTAAGCATTGTACTTCTTTTCTATGTCAATAAAAATATTATTATATTATTATTATTATATGTATGTATTTAGAAAATGTATCAATATTAGTTCTACTAATATTAAACTTGTTATATCGTGTCGCTAACCCACAGGAACAGCAGGAACTACCTTAGTGACATTAGAGCTTTCCTATTCAGATCGTCCATTTCTGACGAGAACATATATTTATTTATTTGGATCGCCAATTATAGTTAAGTTATAGGCAATCATGACTAACATAACTTGTACCATTCTACAATAAAAAAGGCATAACAATAAAACAAATTAAAGAAAATGAAAACTATTAGGTAAAAAAAGAAAAAAAGAGGGTTTTATATATATATATATATATATATACTAGCTGACCCGGCGAACTCTGTTCCGCCTTAAAGGCAATAAATAAGCCGATTTTCGAATTTAGTAAGTTAATTTATTTCTTAGAAAAAAAATGAAGTACATTAATCATTTATTATTGTTTCTACATTTCAGTACATAGGTTGCTCTTCACTTAAGTACCTTATGATACACGACATTTTTTGTTTTCTTATCAGGCGCAAAAACAAACAACGCAGATAGTCTTCCGATCAATACTCAACGTTGCAATGTGTCTTAAACGTTTTAGAAATAAGTGGTGAATATGGAACAATCCAACTGTTGTCGACAACGAAATCCATTCTTTTCACTTTTGTTGTGACAGTTCCACCGTTGCCATCTGGTGATCGACGCCAATACAAAAAAAACGGAATAAATAGTATCCTATGTCCGTCTCCTGGCTCTAAGCTACCTCCTCACCAATTTTCAGCCATATCGGTAAAGCCGTTCTTGAGTTATAAATAGTGTAACTAACACGACTTTCTTTTATATATATAGATGTTCTATATATCACCTATATATTGAATAGTCCGTGATATGTGGTTCTTGATGAATCTATATATATATACAGAACAACAAAGAGAAGGAACACTTGAAACAAACCCTATACCAACCCGTCTGGCCAGCGTGGTATAGTAGGCCAAAATCTCCTTTCTTAGGAGAAGCCTATGTTCAGCAGTAGACTGTTACAGGCTGTTGATGATGATGATGATGATATAGAACATAGTTTAAAAAATAAATTACCTACGGATTAAATGTGATATTCTTTTTTATTCGTTCTCTGTACAACCACACATACATTTAGTAATTTGACGTGGTAATCCGAGTATTATTCAGGTCGGTATTCACTTCGTTTTAAATCTGTAGCTCAGAGCACATTAAACCAGCGAAAAAAAATTATTATTGGCTGACATAAACTGACTGTCATTAGTATTTTACGACAGTCATTAAACAGCTTCAAGTATTGATCGAACTTTATAAATGTAAATATAATTTCATCGATTATGTGAGGTCTACAAAGAGTTATTTTTATTTACATTAAGTTTTTTCTTTCTTTAATATGACCCTAACGATGTCTGTATTATTTTTAGAATATTCTCATGTGTATTTTGCTTTAAAGGGTAAAGCAAAATGTTGTTTTTTATCATTTATTCAAGCACAATTTACACAAAATTGGTAAACATAAAGGTACAATACGCTTCATTAGCTAATAAACGGCTTGAACTATTTCTTAATTAACCTAAAATATTTTTGGCGCAATTCAGAGATATGTTTTTTAATTAAACAACGAATAAAAGAAGTTCGTATAATATTTGACGCTCGCCGTATTAGATACCATTGAAAAACTTTATATATACATTTCTATACATCTATTTATAGAAATAAAAATGAAATGATATTCTTTGGTATTGGTAAATTTGCCAGCTATTTTCGTGTTGAAACCTTCTCGGGCCGTCACCCCGCACACACCTGTGTCGGAAACCAACAGACTAAAGCCGCACGGTGTACCACTCTGCGGGACGGGATACTCAAAGTACCGGCAACGCAATTGTGTCTCTTGAGTCCCAGGGTTCCATGGGGGACGGTAGTCACTCGGTTGCTGTCTATCTATCTACGCAGCCTGTTGCACCCATTGCTGGGTTTAGGCCTCTTCTCTATCACGCTACTCCTGGCGGTTTTGTGCTAGCCGGATCCATTACTCAGAATGTAGTCTGACCATCGGGCAGGTGGTCTGCCTCGAGGCCGCCGCATATCTCTTGGCCACTATTCGGTAACTGCCTTAGTCCATCGGTCATCAGCCCGTCTGGCCAAGTGCCCGCTATACCATAAAAAAAGCGTTTCGCAACAAGATCATAGATCCCGGCTATTTTATTTATTTGAAACAATTTAAATCCTTAAAATTATTATTTTAAACACCGATGAAATGACAACAGAAGTAACAAAAAACAATGATAAAGCAACTGCAACCTCAATGCACCTACCTCACCAGATTTCTACACCCCCCAAAGGTTGGCTGGTAGAGAATGCCTTGGGCATTAAGCCCGCCGTTGTACATAAGTACATAAAGTTTGTAAAATAAATAAATAATATTCAGCCAAAAACGCATCAACGTTCGCGTAAGTGGGCTAGCACCCTTACAATCGTAACTCAGTAGCTCGGCGCACATTAATCTGGGAGTCAACAGCGCGGTCAATGGAACCTGCCACAGGGAACATCGTTCGGCATAATGCACGACCGACATTCCAACTGATCTATTGCTTCTTACAGATTTAATGGGATATTATCAATGGCATGTTACGATTTGAATTGACTACGTGCAAATACAAATTGACTACGTGATGGTAAGTAGTGATCACTGGGGTGCCCTCGTCACCAGCAGAAATACAGAAGCTCTTAATTAATTCCGATCTCCTGAAGGAAATCTGTTACATAAAGGGTGCAAATGGTGTATGTAATGAGATGTACCTTTAAGTAATAAATGGTACAATTAAAGTTTATGGTATGAAATAAATATTATTATTATCAATAAAAACTATCCAAAACTCGTAACGTATTACTGTCAAATATCAAGTATGAACGTAGCTTCTTTCGATTTACCTGTTGCTTGTGTAGCGTTATATGGTAACACATATGCCTTCATTTACGTAATGGCAACAGGTAGAGGAAAATATAACAATATTAATTACAAGAACTTCGTTATACGAAGTCCCTTATGCAACTTTTTAGCGGTAATCTAAATACCCTATTATTAATAGTAACGCACTTTTCGAAGAACCCCGTACATTTATAAAGCCTCTGGTCACTGAAAAAACATACAACTTTGAGGTAGAAATTAAATTAAAGGATAGTATAGTCTTCCCTTCCTTGGAATACAGTTTTATTCACATAAGCAACAGAAGAACTCAACGGAATGAATTCGTCTAACAGGACCGTCACTAGACCAATAGAATTCACAAACATCAAGAAAGCCGACTTGTAAAATAGAAACAGCAGAATACAGACAGTTGCGAGATTATGTTGATAACTTACAACACGCTAACCCTAATATGTTTAGACAGTTCTTACAGGTCCTGGGTCGCAGTCTCAATTGACCCGCGCGCGCTCAACGCTCTTCTCAACATATCGTTGTACGCGAGGCGCTTGCGCATTCCTAGATCAATTGATAAATGGGTTCAACATAAGTGGAGCAATACATGATGAAGTGTTTAGGAACTAATCGTAAAAGGCGGTCAGTCATTCATCAAATGGAAACATGAAGAATAGCATCAACCAACCTGTATTATCTGATTTAGGTTTCGTCACGGTGTGTGCCGGTTAAAAGTAAAAATGCAGTTAATTAATTTAAAATCAGTAATAATTCCAAGGTGCTATCGTTCTAAGTGTAATATTTACTATATGTGTGCGTACTATCTTCACAGATAATTTTAACCGCCTTAAAAAAAGAGAAGTCTCTCAACTTGGTTGTATTTTTTTATATCTGTCACCGTATCAGTATTTCGTCATTAATGAACCGATTTGGAATACTTTTCACGGCAATAGAATAGGTTTGCCGTCAATTACGTAATTTAAACTAAAACTTTGATTAGCAAAATGAGAGCGTTTAAAACGCTTCGGAATACGTCTAAGGGGATATGGGCGTTTTTTCTTCAAATTACAATAATTTTAATAGTAAAATTTAAATAAAGTTTTTTTTTTTAATCACAGTTTAAAACACTGTCATTTGCTATTTCATCTTGGCTGATGACTAAGTGATGAACGTTGTGGCATTTGACTATCTAAATATGTCAATGTATTTAGGCAATTGTTTAGGGTTGGGGTCGTGGTGTCAATTGACCCCGCGTGCCGAAGCTGCGCTTTCTGTCTAAGTGAGATAGATACTACGAGTACACAATACCTAAATCTATTTGTTTTGTAAACTTACTGGAACTACGATGAATAGAAGGATCTGCATTAGAAACGTGTTAGAACACGTAAAATACTGCGATAATTGTGTCTCATTACAATATTTAAAATATCTGAACCCATTATCATCTCTGTCTCTCTATCTCTCTCTCTCATTTCTCTATGAGCGTAATTTCATGGAAGAGTCGATTTTTCCTCTTTTGCGCGTGTGTCTTCGTTAGAATGACCTCGAAAGTGTACAAGATGAGGTTCCAACCACTGGATCCCAAATCCCTCGATTTTGTCATTGACTCCTATTCTGCGATAAAATATATAACAATGAAATACATTTTACATATTGCCAATTTCCCTTTACCGCTTATTTTATTTATTTTGTGTTGCCAAACCAAAAATGTTACGAGTCTCGTTAGTACCCAATCAATGATAGCGAATATGCTAGGACTGTCTAGCTGATTATTCCATCCCTAAAGTTTTATATA